AATTTTCTCACGCCGGAAATATGGATAATGAAAAGTAGAATTTTCTTGTTTTTGCGCGAAATAGTCGGACCTTAGTTCTGTTCGCCATGCAAAAAACTTGTACAAGCTGGTACCAATTGTTACCAAATCGCGTTCGTTTGGGCAAAAAACTTTTAAAACTTGCAAGGAGAGAGCACAATTTTGACTCTTTATTTCTTTTTTAGTTTCATTTCATATTAGCCGGTGGGCTCCAAAAACAACACAAACAATTTTCTCACGCCGGAAATATGGATAATGAAAAGTAGAATTTTCTTATTTTTGCACGACATAGTCGGACCTTAGTTCTGTTCGCCATGCAAAAAACTTGTGCAAGCTGGTACCAATTGTTACCAAATCGCGTTCGTTTGGGCAAAAAACTTTTAAAACTTGCAAGGAGAGAGGACAATTTTGACATTCCATTTGGAGGGGAAGTTACAAATTTGTGCTGGGAAAATTTTTAATTTGGATCACTAAGTTCGTTAAATTTAAAAAAGAACAATCTATTTGCTTATTCAATTAATTTAATTAATTCCAAACATTTAAAAGGTACTCGGCTGAAAAAGCTGTATTCGTAATCGGAACGTAGTTGACACCACTGTCGATATAGGAAATCCGGCAGTGACTTCCACAAAGAAATTGAGGCGTATGTCGAAGAAAGTCAGAATCAGAAGAAATATACGTATAGGTCCTGTAATGCAACCGTGGACGCCAGCTGGCAGTGAAGCTTGCAAATGTTTGCTAATTTCTGTTGGCGCATAACTTAGTAAGTTTCTCTCTTTGGGAGAGTAAGATACGAAAAACGAAAAATCCATATGCTGCAACCCTTGCGGAAACGTGCAGCATTGCCTGCTATCAGTTGTTTTTATTGCATTGGATTTATTGCATTGGATTAAGAACCAGTTCTTCAGGCATAGGAGGAGTTCTGGCTTTTGGTTCAACAATTCAACCAGAAGCGGACATAGATGCGCCCATGGCCCGTAGTTATAGTCAAGTCGACTCTAAATTGAGTTGCAGCTTTTTGACATAACTTTACCTGGAAAAAAAACTGCAACTAACTTTAGTGTCGACTTAATTTTGATTATAACTGCAGGCCTTTGTTTCACAGATCTGTTTCTAAGAATGGAAAAATACTTACTACAACTACGGCCCAAAGTTTCCGCATGTTCGATGTTTATTACTACGATTCGATTCCCACAAATAATACGGTGACAGGTAATAAGGTGAATGGAAATAAGGTCAATTGACTTTATTTCCCACTCTGGTGCGAAATAAAGTCAATTGACATTATTACCTTTTCAAAAGCGAAATAAAGTCAACAAAAATTTGGAAATAAAGTCATTGGCGCTATTTCCTTATTCAAATGGAAATAGCGTCAACAATGCTTAAAGTATGTCGATTCATAGAAAAAAATGTTGTTCTTACAATAAACATCGCCCCGTAAGTGTTGTTTTTTAATAGATGAAAAAGGTTATTGCCAAATCCTCAGCGTTGTGATATTAATCCACACACAATCATGAACTACCACCAATTGATTTTATTAAAAAATTTTAAATTACGAATATGTAAAAACACGATGCGAAAAACTTAACGCCAGCGCACAGCTGGAATACGAGAAATATTTGAAGAAAGAGTGTAGAAATGATCCATAACTTGCAAAACATGTTTTGTTTCCACAAAAATAAAGCGAACACTATTAAATTGAAGAAACAGTCCATGTCCAAAAACTCCGGAGGAACACCGAAAGAATTCTGTGTTTTAAATTAGCGTATTTTGAACGAATTCAGAATGTCTAAGGTGGAAAAGAATCCAACCTTTCTATAAGGAAACAATTATAGAAAAAGAATTAAGGAGAATAACGACACTATTTATTAGGTGATTCCACGAGCCAATGTGCCAAAATGCGGGTATAAACAATTATTGATTATTTAATATCGGAACCGAGATCATATAAGTTAATTGATTGGTTTTCACACACTTTTGAAACACAAATTATATGCTTTTTTACTGCAGACAAGTTGTTGCCCCAAAACACAGCAGAAATCAGGGCTGCCAACTATCCTTAGTTATGAGGTGCCATATTGAGGATAAAAAAGTGCAAAATAGAAAAATAAAAGTACCAAAAAAGGTGTCATTCTTTTTAATCATTCACATTTAGCAATAAAATAAAGCTACATTTTCCAAACAAAAGTGCAATGATAAAATAAGATAAACCAGTTGAATAGCCTTTATACATTAGAAAATTTTAGTTGAGAAAAAGAAGTGCACGCAAAGGATTTCACAAAAATTTATTGAAATGTTTTTTTTTTTTACAAAAGTGCCGTTTTGGCACTTTGTGCCAAATTGAAAAATTAAGTGCCATTTGAAGTAAAATAGGGACAAATGGCACGGTTTGAGCCAAGTTGGCATCCCTGCTTCCAATAACTTACAAATATAAAAATGTGAAATATCGAGGGCTTGAATTCATTAATACCCTCTATCTGCAATTTGCACAAAAACTAATTTGTGATTTTAGAAACCATCTGGAACTTATTACCTGTCGTTATATAAGGTAAAATTAATATCACTGATGACAGTTAAAGCTTAGGTGGATTTTTATATCAGAATCTCAAGTGAAAAGTGTGCAGATAGAGGGTATTATTGAATAGTAAGCCCTCGATGTTTAAAATATATAAAAATTATATTTCAACGTATACAAAAAATAAATCTACCTGCGTTACAGCACGGCGGGAGACTGGGAAGGGGTGGCCGGGGGGCCGCGGCATAGTGTGACGTGGTGTGCTCGCCGTTCGCGCGGGGTACGCGGGGCGGGAGCGCGGCGATCGCGGCGTGGCGCGCTAACGCGGGCCGCCGAGAAGCTAAGCAAATTTAATGTTTGAAAGAGAAATAATGTCAATGGATTTTATTTCGTTTTTAAAAAGGTACCCTGGTGCGAAATAAAGTCAATTGAACTTATTTCCGTTGATCTTATTACCTGTCACCATATATGTACATACATACCTATGTAAATAGTTGTGAGGGAAACCTGAGTGGTAGTGGTGAGGGTTTTGTCGCGAGGTTGCTGCTAAGTTTTTAGTCTTGATTTATTTGTTAGTGGACATTTAGATATGTACATATGTATGTATAAATGTATTTATTCAAAAGGAATAACTTATTTGTTACGTTCAAAAAGTACAGGAAAAGGTTTCTCTTTGGATGCCTGGAGCCAATTGTCTTCCGAATATTTTACGTTATTCTCGGTCTCAATGACATGGAAAGTGTAAGCATGGCGGCTTTTCTGCGACCGATTTGGTTCACTCTTATGCACTACATTGCCATGAATAATGATGCAGGTACCTAAGAAAAGACAAATTTTAAGACAAATCTATATAAACATAACATTAGTGTTTTACCTTTGCCCACGATCAAGGGTGTGTAATTTGATTGAGGGTAAATCGGTGCAGGACGATCGTAAACTAGTAGTTGTTGAGCGTCCTTATCCGGATTGCGCATATATCGACGATGAACTCCGCTCTTATGTGAACCTTTGATTGCGTGCAAACAACCATTTTCTAGTGTACAATTTTCAAGCGCAAACCAAAAACCAATAACAGAGTTCGGCTCTGTGTGCAAAAACCAGGAGTCCTGATGTGGAATAACTTCGCCCCCTATGCCTGGATTCTTATAGATGTACATGCTCTGGCACACCGCTGGTTTATTGAAGTTCAACTGCCAGCAAACTTCCTTAACACGACTACTGAAGGTTAATTTGTTGAAGACCGGGTGGTCAACGTGCAAGGAATGTCCCACTTTGTTCAGGGCGATCATAGGATCGACAACTAATTCGCCATTCTCATTTACGGCACCTTCTTCGAAGAAAAACCGAATTTTGTCGCCAGAATCAAGAAAGTATGTATCTTTGCTATGTGCATCCTTTTGGTTAACTGTGCTAAAAATTTTGCGGTTTGCTCGTGGTGCATCTATGCAGAGGTCACGTCCAGCCGAGTAGAGTTCATCGACCTCTGCTGGCGTGAGAAAATCTTCAATGATAATGTAGCCATTTTGGTTCAGCTAAAAACAATGGTAACTTGTTAATTAGATTCTTATTGTTGAAAAAAAATGTGTTAAAGCCTAAGTTAGGTGTTAGCTAGAGTTTTTACAATTTTTTATTCTGACCAGTTTTGGCTATACAGTAGAAGTATTAACTTTTCTAAGCGGTTTCAAAATTTAAAAAAATGTAATAATAACATAGAGTTTTTAGGAAATAACATGCTAAATTTATTTCAATGACTTATAGCGTTTTCTTTTCTCGAAAAAAGGCTGCACTTATTCTGCCTTGTGTTAGCGCTGTCACATTTTCATGTTCTTTTCTCTGCCCTTTCACAAGGCGTCGTGTTCTTTTCTCAGCAGGTTGCGCTCTGATCTGGCGAAAGTGCTGCCTTTTCTGCCCTCAAATAAACGTGAGAGTGAGAGTTGCATGGCTGATTTTTAATTTGATCTTATAAAAATGCAATTATTTTCCCTATCAGAAATAAGTGTTTTGCTTTAAAATTGTTAAAGACTTATAGGCCAAGTGAATAATTTAGCTTTATTAAGTTCTATAAATAAATTGTGATGGAGTAGTATATTTTCTGTTTCATTCTCATATAAAGAACGCAACATTTTCAGGGCAACGCAGAGCAAGAGTTCCCATATTAAAGGGCAGAACTTTTTTTGAGAAAAGAAAACGCTATTAGTTTTCATCATTACGAAAAACAAACATAAGCGGTACTCACTTTCCGTAGCATTTTAGGTGTAAGTCCCCTTTCAGACACGTCAAGTCTTGAAAGCAATTTTTTTCGCATTCTCTTTTGTGTTTTCTATTTGCTTTCACACGCGTCAACTTTAATTGAAGTCAAGTCCTTGGTTCTTTAAATGGGAAGCAACGAAAAGATCAAAAGAGACAAGAAAACTTGAAACGAATTGACGGTACGGAGGTATCTGTACTCTTCCCCTCTCTTCTCACCTCCTTCGCCTACGAACGAGCAGACTTGAAAGCAAGACTTGACGTGTCTGAAAGGGGACTAAAGTTGCTACGTAGCAATCTAGCACGCATTAGGTTGTTGGAAGAGCAACAAAACATGTGGTAGATTGCTACGTAGCAACTTTACACCTAAAATGTTACTCAACGTGAGCTCCCCTATAGATTTAACTTGTACCAGTGCTGCCGCTGTCACTTCAGTTGAAGTTTTTCACTTCACTTTGGAAGCCTTCACATCATCACTTCATTTTACTTCGTCTTACTTTATTTTCCACAAATTAGATTTATCTCCAAAATAAATAAAAATTTCTTTGAAATATATGATTTATTTCACCAAAATTCTTGTTAAGTAGAAGGTATGGCAAAGTAATTTTTCGCCTCATAAATCTCCGATCTGGCATCGGTTATTCATTATACATTTTATTCCTTAGAAACCATCGATGACTATCGATAATTTTCGATAGTTTTTTAAACTTATAATTTGGCTTTATATTGCGCCTGGCATGTTTTTAAAAAATATTTCTTACAAAATGTGTAAATCGCAAGCTTAGGGTGAAGTAGGTCCAGTTTTACAAATTTTAAAGGATACATTTGTCAAAATTTGTATTAAAATATTTTTTGTGATTAAAGCTAAGCAAAACTTCATACGAATCAGGAGGAGTCGTTGCTCATTAAAATAATTCGAATTTTTAGAGCTATTTATTTCATTCAATATCAGTTAATTTACTTTATTCAATACTAGCAAATTCCCGCTTGCTTCGCGGCGCCTAATAACAAATTTTGCGTGCGCTAATGCAAAAATAGCGTTTAAAAGCAAAAACCGTATGTAAAGTAAAAAAGTTTTAACAACTAAATAGCAGTAACCTACAGTACATATGCAGTACATATGCCAAAAATAGTAGCGCTTTGATGCCATATGGAATACTAATTCCTCTCGAGGTCATGAATTTTGCCGATGGTCTTATTTCCACCAGTGAAATCTTTGCCAAGCGTGCATAATCTTTTTTGATCTTGCAACTACAACATGCGGAAGCCAATATAAGTCCTTATAAGGAAAGGTAAGATCACAGATGAGCGCTTTCTGTTATAAGAGGGCCAAGGATCCTCGCTGCCGCACAGGATGAAAAGTTTTCCCGTACATTGGCTAAATGCGATCTCTTGAATATCATTCAAATGAAGCCATTGATATACCAACCGTCATGAATTTTGGAGAAGCTCCGACACTAATATCGGGGGTGAGTCCATTTTTGATTTTATTCTTTCCACTAACCTAATCATATGTAACATGGGTAATCAGCCAACGTTCCGTGGTCACCGACTCAGCTACAGCGAGGATAAATAAGTGGAGGGTATCGGACACGTGTGCCTTTTCGGATCGCAGCAGGATACTCTTCACGATAGATTCTGAGGTAGCAGTATCACGACCTTTTAGGAATCCGAAAAAAGCGGATTGGAAAACTTTCTCTGAATTAGCTTCCGCCACACTAAGCTTGATGAAAACCGAAGTTAGACGGGGGAATGCTAATATTTATAAGGCAGTTAATCGTCTAAACGCGATTCTGACCAAGTGCTTCGGGCAGAGTTGTGCTATATCTCAGCCACGATCAACGCCCAAGCGGGTATGGTGGAGGGAAGAACTGGGTCAACTCAGATTGATAGCACGAAAGCTCTTCAACAAGGCTAAACGCAGCCGACGTGAGGAAGACTAGAACAAATATGGCTCTTGAACGATGTTAAATAGAGACCCACTTTCCGGGCAACACGGACCAAATTGTCAGTAATCATGTGACAAATCGGCCTCGTGCGCCTTTAGAAGAGTTTTCAGATTTTGTGAACAATGAGAACGTAGCTTGGGCCATCAAATCTTTCGATCCGTTCAAAGCAAGCGGACCAGATGGCGAAATTCCCGCTATGCTACAATACTCATGTTGGAGTCTGGTGCCCCATTTCACAAGCATTTTCGCAAGATGCTTAGAAAGCGGATATGTACCGAAAGTATGGAGGGAGGTGAAGGTTATATTCATCCGCAAAGCAGGAAAGATAAACCACTCACAGCCAAAGGACTTCAGACCGATAAGTCTTTCATCGTTCGTACTAAAAACACTGGAGAGACTAATCGATCTGCATATTAGGGAAAGTATTAGTATCCAAACAATTATCACAGCCCAACACGCATATCGCATATCTATCCATAGATCTGTTGAAAGCGCGCACTATTGAAAAAATGGTGGAACTTAAAGAATACACCCTCTGACGCCTTTCTGGATATTGAAGGGGCCTCCAATAATGTCCAAACGGAGGCGATAAGTAAGGCACCCTCTAAGCACGGCATTCAGCGGTCTATGGTGGCATGGATTGACTCCATGCTCGAGAGCAGAATAATCAACGTCACCATAGGCACAGGATCTGTGAGAAGGAAAACCATCAGGGGCACGTCTCAAGGGGGTTTACTATCCCCTCTCCTCTGGCTCCTGGTGTTGAAAGAAATTTTTGAGACTTTTAAAACCAAGAGAATAACTGGCAAATTCCCGTCAACGATAAGTGAACTAATGGAGAGTGCACTTGGTGATATCTCTAAGTGGGCCAACCAGAATGGATTAGGGGCAGTGGCGTAGCCAGGGGGGATTTGGGGGTGATAGATCCCCCCTTCGTCAGTGAAATGAAACTTTTTATTTTTGAATTAATGACACAATACTATTTTACCCTTCCGATTTATAATATTTTATTTCAGACTGATGACAAATTATCTTGTAATGAATATATAAAATTATCGGTTGGTGGATTATGTATTTGAATATTTGTTTTTTGAAATACACTAGGCCATTTTGCTTAGTTCCCCACAGTGTTGGGAAATAATCTATAATCTATACAAAAACTGTACTTTTCGACTGTAAATTGTATCGACTTTTTAATGTGCTCATCTCATGCATGAATACATAGATTCCCTTCAAGACCAATGCTTTGATGGTATTCACGGGAAGGTTTATGTAGGTAAATTTACATATTTTACACTTTTAACATAAATGTCAAGGCAGATATTTTAAAATACACTTCTTAACAAACAAATTTTTTTAAGTTATTATGAATGGATGAAGAATTTGAATTCAGTACTAAAACTTGACATTTCAAGTGCTTATCAAAACTTTATACATGTTAACTAGATTGGCCATTTATCTTAAAATTATATAATTTTAATTATTTGTTTATAAAAGTGCAGTTTACGCTTTAACAAAACCCGTATAAATCCAAGGTCCAAACTTTCGTAAAGCTTTTTAATTAGATTTCCTATAAATACATATTTTGAGTATGCAGTTTTGTAGCCCGATCAATTCAAATAAAGAGCAAGTTTAAAATACATAGCTGCGGCTTATCGTTGATTTTTAATATTTTTTTTTTTTTGGATGAAGGCGTTGCTCATTTTCTTCATTAAAAAAATCGTCAAACATACTTAGATAATAGGGAAGAAAATTACCGACATCGTCAAAAATATGCCATACATCAACTGTAAATCACAGCTACTTTAAATTTGCACTTTATTAGACTAAAATTGAATGAGCTAAAAAACTGCAAAATATTAAGAGATCAAATTGAAATAGAAAGTTTGTCGATTTTTTTTTAATGTTGTTCAAAGATAAAACTTAATTTCATTTAGTGTTTGTTAAGGAATAAACTATATTTTTATGAACAAATAATTCATATTAAAATATAATAAAATAAATAGTCAAATCTACTCAATATGTGAGTGTCGTAAAGTTATGATATTTAAGAACATCTCTTTCTTAATTAACGATGACACTTTTTCTATATGAAGATGATTTCAACATTTTGTTTTAGTAAAATTTAGTATCGAAAATATTTTTTCAAAACTTGCCTAGGAATGTGATATAATGGTTCGTTCAAAACCTTTTTCAAAACTTTTAAAGGCAAAAACGAGAAGGCGAAGACAAAAAGAGAATAAAACAAGTAAAGAAGTACAAGTTCAGGCGAAACCGAACATTATATACCCGGCGCACATATTAAATATCGTTTTTTCACCTTTCAGTAAACTGCATGATAAGCAAGAGTATTTTTCCAAATATTTCGATA